ATTGACTCAAAACTAAAAATAAAAAAAGGAGTACATGAATGAAACGCTCTAAAGCTGTGTTTCTTTTTGATCTTGTAGGAGAATTGGAAAAGACTTGAGCAATACATTTGCCAAATTGGAAAAACTCACTATTTGTAAGTATTCATTTATCTATGTTTTGCATTATTCTGCAGTAATCAAAGTTTGTTGCAGCTTTGATCAAAACGCTAACTCTGTTTCCTGCCGGTGTGATGTTTCAGTGGCGAAAAGAAAATCTCTATTTGACGACAAGGCGGTGGAGATAGAAGAACTCACCTACATCATTAAGCAAGTGAGTTGATTTAGCGGTGAGCTTAGTGTTCGTTTACACTCGGTGAAATGTTTTCACACCGACTCATCCTTCTGCTGCGTTTGTGTCTGCAGGATATCAACAGTCTGAACAAACAGATCGCACAGCTGCAGGACCTGGTGAGGTCCCGCGGCGCTCCGGGTGGCCGGCACATTCAGACCCACTCAAACACCATCGTGGTGTCGTTACAGGTAACCCACAGTCTCCACAGGCAGATGGATCCTAAATGATGACTAACTCTCTTTAACTTTAGCCAGCATTAACAACATGTGCAAAGTCAAAACTAAAATGAATCAGTTTTTTGTTGTATTTCTATTAATTAGAAGATAAGCAAATGTTTTTGTATTTCTGTTTGCATATAAGTAGAAGACGTTTGGCGTGGTCTAAAAATATAAAATATTTTGTTTTTGTCTTGTTTACAGTCCAAACTGGCATCCATGTCTAATGACTTTAAATCAGTTCTAGAAGTTCGAACTGAGGTGAGAGATTTTTTTTCTTCCTATAATCTTGCACTTCACAAACATTTTGTTTCATTTTTAGGTTCTAGTAAGAGCTTGCTTTCCTTTTTAAGATTTATCGCTTGAATTTTCCACAGAACCTGAAGCAGCAGCGCAGCAGGAGAGAGCAGTTCTCCCAGCCTCCTGTAGCGACTTCTCCTATGATGGCCAATAACTTCAGTAAGTCTGAACGCTTCCTGGCTTCATGCATGATCAATCAGCTTTATGTGGGTGGCATTAAAGTAAAGACGTGTAGCTCCATTGTGGCGCGTTTACTCTGCACTGATAAAGCCAGGCGTTGTGTCGAAGCTGCGTTTCTGACTGAACGGCCCATGTGGTCTGGGGAGATAAGCTGTAGTTAATTCAAATCAAAAGCTAGAATGTTATCTGGACAGCCCAGAGGACATTTAGAGGAGGCTCTAAAGTTTCTTTTTTAGAAATGGAAGTTTACATTTATGGTCATCTGTGTGTGGAAGAAACACAACTCTTAACGTTCATTACCGTTTATTCAGGAATGATTGCCTACAATAATCATTTTACAGTTTGGCAGGAAGGCATGTCTGCCTCCTACTTTCTTTATCATGTATATAATTCTTATTTAGATATTTATATTAATTTACTAATATTATTTATTCGAGAGGGTCAGATGCAAAAGCATAAATGAAAACAACCTACTGCCTGCGTCACTGTGTATATAATTGTAGCTAATTAGCAACACTGACCCCTAGTAGGACTTTTCTTTATAAGACCAGGCCAAGATGGGTAAATAATTTCTGTGTAAGCATTACCACACAAACCAAAAATCCAAAGAGTTGAAAGAAATCGCCTAAAAAATTAATTTTCAATCCAGAAATGTCAGCCTGCTGATGTTTGCCCAGCACATGCAGTCAGTACTTTGTTCACATAAATACATTTACCCCAATAACCGTATTTTGATCATGTGCTGTGGATTTTTATGAATTATTTACATTATGAACAGATTGAATCAATTGCTTTTGCACATCAACACTGAGCATGCTCTTCAGGTTTCCTAGCACAGCCTGGGTTGTGGTGCCAGTACAGCTGTTGCAGTAGTGAACTGCTCGAAGTCTTTGTGAATGATTCTTGCTGTATTTGGTCGTCTGTAATGCAAAGATTAAAAAATATTTTAGGGAGCCGCAAAAAAGGGGCCCAGGAGCCGCATGCAGCTCGCGAGCCGCGCAATGACTACCAGGGCTATACAACCTCAAATTTAAAAGGTACTCCCCCCTGGAACGCTTGCCTCACACAGCGGGTATTAGCAGCAACTGTACGTGCCCGCTGTTCTTTCAGCTTTTCCGCTGTAACATTTAGGGTTCTTGTCAAATCCCACTTAACGTGTGAGGGTTTTCCTTTCAGAAAGCTCAGTGCTGATGCAGGACGAGTCCCGGAGCATGGGGGACGTGGCCATCGACATGGACTCTCAGAACAACCCTCTGCAGCTCCAGCTAATTGATGAGCAGGTACCCGGCTGCTACTAGTCACTCGTACTGATGGACAAAATAGAAACAGCCAATTAAGAGCAGACATTTAAACATCATCCTAGTTTGACAGTTCTATAAAATCACTGAGATTATTTGGGGAAACCCCGATGGACTCAAAGACTTTTCTTGAGATCAGAACTAGGCATCCCTAATTTGCTGTTATTTTACTGCAGACATATGCACATGGTCTCTTTTTTTTTCTTTTATTAAATTCTTGATGATGTTTCCAGGACTCGTACATCCAGAGTCGTGCAGACACCATGCAGAACATTGAGAGTACCATCGTGGAGCTGGGCTCCATATTCCAGCAACTGGCTCACATGGTGAAGGAGCAAGAAGAGACCATCCAGAGGTGAGAGATGCATGAGGACAGACCATATTATTCTCATATCTCTAATACTACTAAAGGGAACAACAACTAGAGAGTAAAACCTCAAATATGTCTTCTGGAAATAAAAATCTTCAGAAAGGGAATTCTGCCATGTTTGAAACCCAGTTAAAAGAGGAATATGTGTGGCTAAATATTTGTACTATCTGAATCTGTCAGCTATTTAGTGGTTAATGTTTTAAAGATTGCTGATCTGACAGAAACACAGATATTACTGTCCCCTCTAACTCGTTGTCTCCCTGCAGGATTGACGCCAATGTGGAAGACACACAGCTGAACGTCGAGGCCGCTCACACAGAAATCCTGAAATACTTCCAGTCAGTCTCCTCCAACCGCTGGCTGATGATCAAGATTTTTCTTGTCCTCATAGTTTTCTTCATCATCTTCGTTGTCTTCTTTGCATAAAGAAAAGGGTTGGGTGTCTGAAAGAGGGGGAAAGTGTATCAACTGAAGCTAATGCTGGACAGGGAGACGTCCACATCACACACTGAGAAGACGGACTTCTGTAGAACGGTTTCATGCCAGCTGGGGTGAATTCAAACAAATATAGACTCAGCCAGATATTTCCAAGCTATGAACTCATGATTCAACACTTTGAAAGATAGAGTGATTGAGCTCTGTCCAAACAAAACAAATAAATGGTGTAAAATCTCCAGTTTGTAGAGAGGAAAGACTGCTCTGCATTGTACTTTGACCAATTCTTTGTAAGCATTTAATCAAAATGGCTGTAATTTAATAGTTTGATTCTGCAAACTGTCTTATAAAAAATGTTTCTTTTTCTTTACCCCCTTTATCTATTTTTTTAACTTTCATTTCAACAGCAAACAATAGAACCCGAATCTATTCTCATATTAGTTTTCTTCATGTTACTGGGAGAGATAATACCTTGTCTAATCATTATTTCTAAATTCACCATTCATTTATGCTGTGAACTATTTTATCAAGTTACATTTTGTTCTGTTTTATTTGCCAAATGGGAATGCTCTTTAACCTGTGACATGACGCTGAAGAAGTCGGGTACAGAAGTCTGCAGAATAATTTGATGTAGAAATATATTAAAAGAATTGACACTGGAAATGTCCGGGAGTCATCAAGCGTTTCAAGTATTAAAGGGATTTAAGGGACTCATTCATGCTGCGCCCCACCAAGGATCAGAGCTAATGAAAGGGTTTCTCTGCTAATGAAGTGACTCAAGCTGCCAGATTCCCTGGAAGGATCTGGTTGGTTGTCTGCCCTCTTTACCTAATGTACAGGATGTTATTTAAATGATTGTCTCCTTTTTAGAAGACATGGTTCCTATTTTCCCACCAGTTTCTTTTAGCCAAATGCCTTGACTTTATTGTACAATGTGCAAATAGTTCTAATGATGTATTGATGAGCAAGTGCACAATAATAAAACAAAATTGAATCTTGATGCTGACGTTTGGAGTTTGTTTTTTGGGGTGAGATAATCAGCATTTTTAGTTTCCATTTTCCACAATGATATGGTTTTTGTTTTAGTCTTTTATCTCTTAATTTTTGTGCAGTTTTGGTGAAGTGCTTGCATAAACTGAATAGTTTTCAAATTGCATCCTGAGTGGCACAATATGAAGAACCAGCCAACTTCCTACAGAATGTGGAGCTTCAAACCTCTTAATTTTTGTGTGCTTTTCCAGAGAACTTTATGGACTGGTTTCTGATGCCAAGCAACTGCATCCAACCCTAGAATCACCAGAATTATACTTTTTGACTTCATTTTGTGAAATGTAAAGTTTATAAAGACAGAATTGTGTTTCTGGTTTGCTCCAGTGGCCTCTTGAACTATTTAGCATCACTTTAGTAGGATGTTTGACTCTAGGGTATCATTCCTTGGTATAGCTGTCACTGTCTGAACTTAAAGTTCAAATATCTACAATATATTTTTAGTTTAGTTATTTGTAAAACAAACAAGGCTTTTTCAGAAATGTTTTTTTTAAAGTCTCATTTATAATGCATATCTATATGTATTTGTTAGAACACATAATTTAATCCCCTTCAATTACATAGTCTGAGTGTAAACTAAAATATTTACATGATATAACCTTGATGTCTTTATATATATATATATATATATATATATATATATATATATATATATATAATATATATATATATATATATATATATATATATACTGCTCTGAGTCCAAGTATGTCATTGCACGAATGATGTTTAATTGTTCCTTTTTAGTCTGCAGACTAGAAGTGCCTCAAAACTTAGTCCTAAATGTTAAGAAGAACCACATTTAAATCAAAACAGGGACAAAGTAGAGAAAACAGCATTTTAATCACACTGCTTACATGAGAACATTTTACATTTCTCCAAATACATGCGTGCACATTCAGAATAAAAAATTAATGAAAACATCAGACATAATTCAGGTTGAGTTGCAGTAACCTTGTTGACAGGAGAGCTTGCACAAAGTGACAGAATCTGCCGAGTCAGCAGAAAAGCAGCCTGAGCTGAGTGTGCTCGGCCCATCCTCCCGTTGCATGACATGCTTTAAAGGGACAGTTCATTATACGTCTTCTACACCACGTTTAAGGAGTGTGTTTGAATTTGTCAGCAAGTGATGCTGTTGTTTCACCTGCTTGCAAAGTTAAGAGTTTGGTTGGGATCGTGACGCCTTGCTGGAGATGATGAGCTGATCTGTCACAATGTCGTCATTGGTCAGTGTGCAAAACTGTGGCATTGCAGTGACCTAAAACTAAGTTTTGGAATGGTCAAAAGACCATTTTTGAAGAGTAAATGATTCCTGCTCACTCTGGTCAAAGGCTGGCTGGTACTCAACCATCAGCACAGAGTGAAGATTCAACCTGAACAATAATGATCTGAGTTTCTAAAGTTTACATATCATTAAACAGTTACAAAATTGTCAAACGCTTCCGCTGTCGTCATCGTCATTGTCGTCTGCCTCAAGAAAAGTGAGCCTTGTTGTCTTCATCTTATGATTTACTCTCACTCTTCCTCCCTCACTCCTTGGAGTGACTTCTTCCATTTGCCACCACAGATCTTCCTCCTGTGGTCTCAGCCCTGAGCGCTCTGCTCCAGCGGGGTGATCTCTGGCATGCTCTTGCTCCTCCCCTTCCTCGCTCTGGCCCTCATGGCCTCTTCCTCGCCCTCTCCGTCGTCCTCATCGTCGGACCAATCCACTTGCTGCTGCAGGTTGCCCCGGGAGCCCCTCAGGCCGCTCCCCTTGAACATCTGCCCGGTGCGAAACTTTGTGCGGAACGTGACGAAGGAGAGGCTCTTGCTGCGCTGCTGCTTCTCGTAAAACGCGCTCTGTGGCTGGACCTCGTCGTTGCCGCTGACCTCGTCCACGCAGTCGCGGAGCACCGTGCGAAACAGCCGGGGGACCTCATGGACCTCCGGCTCCATCTGGGACACCAGCCTCCGAAACCTGCAGGGAGGAGAAGACGTGATCTGATTAGGGATGCCACTTAGTAATCGATTATTGTGACGATTTATCAGTTAATTTGATTTTAAAACATATCAGGCATGTTCTGCAGATTTTGTGTTTAATGTCTTCAGTTTATTTTGTACAATATTAGAAATACATAAACAGACAAACACATAATTCAATTCCATTTTTAAAATAAGAAAGTAATTACTTTTGCCTGAATTGCAATACAGCATTCTTTATGCTCTTGATCAATTGTAGCAAATGCTATATATATATATATTATATATATATATATATATATATATATATATATAATATATATATATATATATATATATATATTATATATATATATATATATATATATAATTTTAGACTAAATTACAGCGCTGACTGTGTTGTTCTATCATCAAATTACCCTTTCAGAGTCACTATATCCCAATTCACAATTCATTGATTAATAAATCAGTTGACGAATATTTCAATAATTGATTTATCATGATTAATGATTTCAAACTTCCTTCTCATGTCTTGAGGTGTTTTTGCAGCCTCCAGTTTTCCTTTGTTAGCATCCTGCTAAAGAAGAGCTTTTCCCACAGCATGATATTGCCATCATCATGTTTCACATGTTGAGCACAGGGTGTTAGTTTCGTCTGGCATTATGTATTTAGTCCAAGAAAGAATTTTACCGGAGCACGTTTGCTGTGTACGCTACATGATAACAGGACTTTGTCAGGAATGTCTTGCCATTTTTGTGTAGGGCATAAAGAGTTGAAATTTCAACCAGATTTTCAATCTGAACGATATCTGCAGCTCCTTCAGAGTTAGAACTGGCCTCTTGGTTGCTCCGGTTGAGGTGGATCTTCATGTCCTTTTCCATTTTCAGATCTGTTTGCTTCAAACTTTTAGACAACTTCATCCCTAAGTTCCCTGCTTTTTCTGAAGTTTTTCATTTTCTTTCTAAGCAATCGAAAGCGATAAGACATACAAACTGCATTTAAAAACTGGTTCATGTTGCACTTTTTAAGTAGATCTGGCTGCTAAATTCAAACAAATAAAAATAAAAGAAACCATGTTAGAAATCGGAAGGAGTATGTTTCAACTCATTGTATCTCACAGTGAGGATCTGAGAGCATCAGCATGTTGTTGCTCAGAGTTTTAAAGGGATTACCAGACTGCAACTCTGCAACTCTTTTGTCCTTAGTTCTCTGTTCATATTTGATGTTATAGAGTTGTCTCTATTTCACAGTGATTTTAGAGACCAACAGTCTGAGTTGTTGATGAAAAGCACTTAACTTGAAAATTAAATAGGGTAAAAGTACTAAATGGATTATAATAAAATGAACAATAAAGTGCAAACTGAGAAGTTGCATGTTCATTAAGTTTATCTTTCCTTTATGGGGAAAAAAACTACAATCCCTGTTATGGTACCTGAGTTAACTTTACACCTTTTTAAATTTAATTCTCTGTTTGTTTTCCTGCCTGATGGACTCTTTCGCCTGCTTCAGTGTTTCTTACCTAACGATGACAGGGCCGCACTGTGCAGGGGGGATCTTGGCACAGAGGTCCTGCAGCTCCAGCAGGTCGTTGGGGGTGAGCTGGTAGGGCTGAGGGGTCGGGGTGTGTGCCAGCCAGCTGTAGTCCGCCGTCGAGGAGGAGCTGCGGCGCCGGCGCCGACCCTCGGTGGCCCTCTCCAAATGGATGCGCTCGGTCCGCTTCACCATGGCGCCCAGCTCCAGCATCAGAGTGTTGGTCACCAGCTCCTCTGTGCTGCGCTGCCCCGGCACTTTGGGCTCAAGGGAGAAGACAGCCGTCCAAGGAAACATCTGGAAAAGACAAATCCCATCTCACAATGTGGCAAAAATAAACAACCTTTACATGAAAAAAGTGGATTAAAATCACAGCAAACAGCTAAATAATAATACATGAGCATTCTCCCCTTTTATTCATTCACCTACCTTTATGACAGTGAATGTACAAAGCGGTGGTGTGTTTCTATCTGGCAGAAACTCCTCAGTTGTCTGGTCAAGTCTCTGTCAGCAGCCAGAGGAAGAGCAGACCTCCATGAGCAGAGTGGATGAATGAGACTCCGGCTGCCTGACTGCCTGGCTACCTGCAGAGGTCCCCGGCAGACAGCGCAGGTAATACTTCGAGGCGTGCGTGGAGCGAGTGTGTGAGTTTGGGATTGAGAATAAGTGTCGTCCCGTATTAATAAAGATAGAGTGACGAGATGAGCTTATTGGATCATCAGTGCACGCCTGCAGGGAGAGCCGGGTGCATCAGTGTGAGTGATGGAAATCATTTTACATAACGGCACAGGCAGGGGTGACATCAAGCTGATCTGTTTTCATTTAGGTACACTTTTTTTATTCTCATTTCAACATCAATTAATTCCTTCTTTTTAATCATCAGATGCAGTTTTATGCGTCTTTAAAGAGGAAACTGTTCACAGTTTCTGTCAAGTTTAACCTTGGATAAACATTGAAGGAAATGTCCAGGTTTCCAACTTTTATTTCTTCCGCAAAACATTAAAAACTGAATATCTGATATTTCTCAGATATTCTCGGTAAGAGTCATCACAGTGACATGACATAATCTGTAAATACTCAGCAGTCTGTCTGAGTAGATGTTAGGAACATCAGGCCAGTTTCTGGGTTTCCACAGCACTCAGCACTGAGCAAATCCCAGATTACATTCAAATCCACAGCCTACCTGGAAGAATGACTGCTTGTTGTGGCTGTTATAATCTAATTACTACTCTAGTCTCAGTCCTGGTGCAGCTGTATAGCAGGAAGAGATGATTTTGTAAATATCACTCAGAGCAGTAATATTTAATATTTCTATTAAATATATGAATTTCATGGAATATTTAAGTGTGTGTAGACCGATATATGCTGAACTGCTTAGGCCTGTTGTCAGAACATTTCAGTCAGAAAGAGGCAAGAACCTAGTTACACACCGCAAGATATCATCAAGTTTTTTTTTAATTATTAGTTTTATTCATTCTCATCTGAGCACCTTTCACTTTGTGCTAAAATGAGTCCTTACCTTCAACTTTGGCAACTACTATACTTTTATGCAGTGCTGTGAAAAATTGTTCTTTCATGTTTCTGTTTTGATGCTTTCATTTGTCAGAACCCCAAACTTCAATGTACTATTTATTTAAATTTATCCAACACAAAATAGAGAATAATTTATAAGTAGAAAGAAAAGAATGCTTTGGTTTAGAATAGAATAGAATTATTTTTCTCACAAAAGTGAAAGTTAAGATAAGACAAAATAAGATAATATAATTCTTTATTAGTCCTACAACTAACACAACAGAAGTGTGTTCGTCAAAACAGTGTAGAAAAAATACCACACAAATTAAACTAGAAATATAAATACAAATATATATTTATAAAGAAATACAGATATTGATGGACAAATGGAGTATTCTAAAGGAGTACTAAACAGCAATTGTTATGCAACATTGTTTTAATAAAAACAAAAATAGTTCTTTAATAGTCCAAGTGGGAAATTTAAGTTGTCATTGACATAATAAAATGAGAGCAGCAGAAGTGAAAAACAACAGAATAAAAACAAAACAGAGTGAAAAACCACCATATCAGCTAAGCTAAAAATATAAATAAGAAAATATCAATACATATGTGCAAAAAATAATAAAAATAAACAAACAAATAAATAAATAAATAAATAAATAAATAAATAAATAAATAAATACAGTAGCTGTTGGACAACACATGAAAATACTGAATGTGTACTAAACAGTAATTACTATGCAACTTTTTTTAATAAAAAACACAAATTATCAGCAAAATTCCCAACTCAGCCTTAGAAGATATATATTTGAGTAATTATAGAGTTTAATATTTAAAAAATACCCAAATGATCATTTAGTTCAGTGACGTGAAGAAATCTAACGTTCTTACGGGACTTGAGTGAGTGACATCTTTTCACCGCTAGAGGTCCTCAGAGAATCGCCCCGCCACGCGGACTTTTCCCAAAACATTCCCCTGCTACGTCATCAGCCCCCTCCTGCCTCGTGCCGCCCCGGGTTCTGTTGGGTTATCAGTGGGGCAGATCCCGCGGTATTTTGCAGCTCGTATAGAAGCTGTCAACATTCGGGTTGAGTCCTGTCCTGTTTCAGGTTGCTCTTTGACTCCGTGGACGCTGGAGTTTTAGCTCCGTGACCCTGTCACGGCCGTGGCTGAGCGTCCCGGGCTGACCGCGCTCTTTGTGACGCTCTGAAGTGAATGGTGAGTAGCTTTATGGTGGGTTAGCTTGTAGCATCGCTGCTGGGTTGATGCCAGCCGTTGGTCCCTGATGGACCGAGCTGACCTGACCTGATGGAAAAGTCTCTTGACCTGCTTTAGCAAAGCTCGCGGCTCGTTCACGTAGTTGACGTAAAAATTACGATTTTCTTTCAGTTTGTTTTTGTTAATTGTCTGTATTTTTATTGAAACGCCGCAATAGGGGTTTCCGGATGTTTGCCTCCTCTTGTACATCTGCTATAGCAACTTTTAACAATTGCCACGAAAGCAATATAAATTTCATTCATTTGTTACGTCATTGATCACGTGGTAAAGCTAACCTGCTGAGGAAACCTTCAGATTATTTCATTTTCTGTTTTCTCATTATATGGGACTCCAGTAGTGCAAAAAACAAGCAAACATTTGACCATACATGTGAAGTAATATTTGAGGATGCCTATCCAACCCCCATCAATGGTGAAACATGTTTTAGCTACAGGTTGGCTTTAAATGTCTAATTTATTTATAATTTATTTAATATACACTATTGTCTTCAGTGCGGCTATAAGAAATGGTGTTTCTCAATGCTGCAGTATTTGACTAATACTATGGCTATTATTTAACTTTTTTTTTTTTACAATTTAGTACACAATTATTAAGCATCTATACAAGTTTTTGCATCAGTTTTTTAAATATGTGGATTTGTTTTCATTGTCAAATACACATTTACACTTGGGAGACATTTTTCTTAAGGTGCAGCTCATTAAGTATATAGTTAGTGCTGATTGTTTCTTTCTTATTTTGTATTGTGGTGGGTATGTTATTTTACACCAAGCATTTTTAGGTTTACATCTAGTGCCAATCAGACATAAACTTTTACCCTCCAAGTTTCATTTGCTCTTTGACAGCCTATTTAATAAATACATTTTCATTAATTGTTTGTAATAAGAACATTTGTTTATATTACTTGAGTGAACATCACCTCCCAGAAAAATATATAAAATATATTGCCATTAATTGTTATTGGCTAATGATGGTCATTTTTCAAAATATCAGTATCAGTCCAATGTGGTAATTTAGTCACAGCGTTAAGTAGTTGGACAACATTGTTTAATAGCAGTTATTGGCCACAACAGTAATGTTTATGTGAGAAGTTGATATCGGCAGACATTTTCATAGTTATTTTGCTTTGATTAGAGGTTCTGATACGTTTTTTGTTTTTCAGAAGAGGGGCCCAAACACAGATCAGAATTAGAAACTCTGGTAAACAGATGTAACACATAGTTATCCGAATATTTAGGCATTTTTATTATGTTTATTTTCAATTGGTAAGTCACACTTAACTATGTCATGCAGGTACACATATCATTTTCTCAATATTTAAGTATTTCCAATAGTTAGTTTCTCAAGCCACATGTGTAGTTCAATTTAATAATGTATTTTGGAGACTATACACTTTGTGTTATTCCTTATTTTTGTTTATTTTAATTCCATATTGGGCAAATGACTCTTATGAAATATGACTGATTAGCCTTATTAAGCCAACATCAATCAAAGCTTTCTGCTGATGGTGGATGTTATTTATTATGGTCATATAACCACATTTCATGAGAAAGTGACTTTAAAATTGCTGCTTGTCAAAGCTAATGTACTGTGCTAAAATCTCCAACTTTCGTATGTTTAGCAGCTGTGTGGAATCATGGTCATAACATTTAGATGACATATCCACTGACAGAGATGTTACTGTGTTTAATAAAAATCTCTCATCTAATCCTGATCTCCGACTGTGATTGTGAAACACCAGGTGCAACAATGGACTTAAGTTCATGATTAAATCTGTTTCTGAGCTGGAGCAATTAGTTGATGAAAGAAAAGCAATTGGTAACAGTGAACAAAGCAGAACAATTAAAGGTTCAACCACTTTTTCTGTGCTTGTACTATATTTATTACCACAACCATGACTGGCATACAATTGTAAATATGCAGTAGTCACAAAATAAAACAATACTTGAAAAGATTAAAAACAAGTTTTAACATAACAAAAATGATTCCGTGTTGTTGAATCATCTGGAAGCATGATTGTAAATCCTGGTTATATGCTCTCTTTGACAGCTTTTTGCTTGCCTTCTGTCTGTTTACAGGGAAACGGGTAAACAATGACAGCAGCACTGAGCTATGACACAAACTGAGTGCAGCTCCAGTCCTGATGACAAGCCTCCAGGCTGCAATACATGTCAAAACTGAGTTTAGCTTTATCTGTCATTTTCAGTCAGGCTTTTCTTCATTCCAGAGCTCTCACTTTCATCTGTCCTTATTTACAGCAACGTGCGCTGTTTATCAGTCAATGCCTTTTGAAACTCACTGAACTTGAAACCTCCTGCGCTCGAAGCAAGTATTTTATGAGAAATTATTTCTGCTCATGCCGATGTATGGGAAAGTCGGGATTTATTTTCATCTGGCAGGCAGTGCTGTTGGAACAGTTTGTGTTTGTGTAGGAAAATATTGAGTCACAGCTGCCCAGCTGTGACAACCAGTGTCCCTCTGAGGCAGCAAAGCCTTGGCAACAAAAGCAAGAGTCGTAAAGAAAAGCAGATTCAGAGAGGATCAAGACATGTATTATGTTTGAACACACTGCAACAAGAGTTATATACACCTTATTTATTGTTTACAGCTTGGACTTCCTCCTTGCTCTAATATTATGATCTGTTTTTTCAGTCAAAATAATTAGTCAGAAAGCATCATTTTAATTTTATGAAGCAGGTTTGTTTAGTTTTTTACTTGTTCAGCAATAAGTGAGATCTTTGTAGAACATGAATCTATTTACTGTAAGTTTGAAACATATAAAGGGTGTCACAAGTCTGCTTTATTTCAAAATAAAAGCTTGCAATTCCCTAATATTTGAATATTCTCTATTATGATCAACTAAAATGAGTTATTTTACTACCTTTAATGAATGGATGTGCCCAAATCTTTATTTTACTAAATGTCTTTGTGGTCTAATTTTGAATAAAAGAAAAATAGGGGAACAAATATTGCTAATAAAATAATTTTATATTGTATCAAACATTTTTTTGGAAATGTAATTTAAAAATCTTCTTAAAAATAATAAATTGTGCCCATTTTCATCAAATAGTAGTGCTGGAGGGCCAAATTTGTACTATTTGTGAATTGATGTTGGCGACCATGGAAAATTATTTCAAGAGTTGCAAAGGGCCCCAGTGCCACTCTTTTGACCCCCTTCTTTAGAAGCTTTGAGTCTAACAAATGCTAGTAGATCATTTAAAGTTAGCATTTTCTGTACAGGATGATGTTCTACTGTTTTTATCCAAATGTGTTTGTGTTGATTTATTGATCTGATGGTGTCAGGCCCAGACGGACAGAGATGAGCTGGGCTGAGGAGGATTGGACGGTGGGCCTCTCTGGGAGGGTCCTGCAGAAGGTGAAGGAGCTGCAGGTGTTTAAGGAGCGACTCTCCAGAGAGAACAAGCAAAAGCAGCTTCAGCTGGACAATATTCATACCAGCCTTGAAAAACAAACAGCGAAGGTAAACACAGACGTGCTTTATGAATAGATCTCAGTTACAGGCTACAAGAAAATCAATATGACCAGTAACTTATTAGTAAAGTCATAAAGGCTACTGTTAGCATTAACAGTGTGCTTTTAAACAGGAATATTTTAACCTTCCATTCTGACAATGTTATCTTCCACAATGTGTCATATTCTCTTTACACTCTTCATAACCTTTAAACCCCATGAAATCACTCCTGTTCTTCTTTTCTTCCAAGTATGAGGAGGTCCGTGGGGAGCTGCAGTTTGTTCAGAGAGATCTGCAAAGCGTTAGGGAGGAGGCCGAGGCGGCCGTGACCGGCAAAGAGCGCCTCGCCCAGGATCTCCACACCAAGCAGGCCCAGGTCTGCTCTCTGGAGGGGCAGCTCGACGCGGCTCGTAACCAAAACATCCACCTCAGCCAAGAAATCAAGAGGTCAGCAGGAGTCAACTATGAAAACACAGCTACAGTGATACGTCACTGATATTTAGCTTTCCTGCCACCATGTTGTTTTATGTAGTCATTAATCATAATAGAATTATGCACATATTATTAAGTATGTTTTAATTTAATTAGAACATTAAGCACTTCATTTGATAGGATGTTTCCAAATTGCATGCAGTTTCTTGCTAAATTTTTTCAATTTTGTCTCGTTACAACCAGAAATATTGATGTATTCCAATGGTATTTCAACATGGTACCTAGACCTGTCACAATGACAATTTTATTGGGTGATAAATTGTCAGCGATAAATAATAATTGTTTTGTGACTATTTTCAAATAATATAGTTTAAGTTTAAGTTTGCCTTCTCCAAAATGAACAAACCTTTATTTCAATAAAATACTTAATCCTGGAACTGGAAGATATTTTAAAAAACAATAAATGAAAGATGAATTATAAAGACTCTGCAAACAAAAGCTATTATTCATCGGAATTAAAAATCTTTAGTTAGTGGTAACTCAGTATATATTTGTCGAGAGGGCAGTGCTTCTTTCAATTTACAGTCTGGGAAGCTCGGCCTTCAATTGCATTGAACCCTCTCGGTTGATGCATAGTAGAAATACCTTTTGCTGCTTTGCCGCTGCACATGCAGTGTTTGATCTCATCGGATTGTATCATTTTTCCATTTATTTTCTATCTCTTGCTTGTTGCAAACTGTAACTGGACTGGATGATTTGTTCCAAGTGTGGCATTCTTTTTTTCATCCTTTTATGTTTTCCCATCAACAGATTTTTTCTTATTGGCCCTTATTAGTAATTTTATCTTCCACTTTGTTGTTTCACTCATTGCATGTAAAATACTCTGTCATTTGTGGTTATAATGTGACACAATGTATTGCTTTAAAGCCTTTTGCAAAGGCCTGGACGTTTATTTTAAATTATGCTGCTGAGTCAACACTGGTTTTATTCTAACTACATTAGTTTCCTGCATCAGGATCACATTTGTTATCAGAGGGTTTTCTGTTTTCCTGCCCTCTGTTTCACCATCGGTCCTCTCTCTGTGGTAGATTGGAAGCTGAGCTGGAAAAGCTGCAGAACAGCAGCCGGCACACAGAGACCACTCTGTTTTCCACACCCTGCTGGACTGCATCCTCACCCTGGGAACACAATGGTACAGTTTGAAATTTATGACTCCTTTGTTTGTTCTCCTTAGCAGATCCTATCTTATCCTTTCTTTAACTTAATTCCCCGGTATAATTTAACTAATTAAACAGTAAAACCACAGAGATCTGCAGAGAGGCAGAGATTATAAATAAAGTCCTTCAACTCTGAAGCTTTCCCAGCCTATCGCTCCCTGGGGGCTGCTATGTTTATCTTTCCACTGTTTGGATATTCGCAGCTGTTGTTCATGTTCAACTTTGTCGATGCATTTGAGGCTCTGACTTCAGTCGCTATGTTGTGTTTCTGCCCTGCAGGGAGCAGACAGGAAGACAGATCCGGGCAGCGGGACGAAGGACAGAGCCGGGGTCATCACATCAGAGTAAGTACCAGCTTATTCTTCCATTGAGCTTTCTTCAAATCCTAAACTCCTGTGGAGTTTGAGAGGATTTAGCTCCTGTCATGCCAGAAAAACAGAACTAACATCCGTCTTTGTTCTTCCAGTCTATCCTCAAATTAGTTTTATCCCACCTAAATGGACCACATGGATTTGTCTGCAATTAATGTTTGACCTGCTTTTGCCATTTAAACACATTAGTAAACAATTAACTCCCTCTGAGGAGCAGGTAACGAGACTTCCCTTAATTAGGAAGAAATTATTTTTTCTCTTTGTCAATTATAAAATACAATTTTGGCCTTTTATATGGAAACAGAGAGGTTTATTTAGAAAAAAAAAGATTATATATGAACAATATTATTTTTTACCAGTCAAGTTTGATTGTTTAGAAAAAAAATAGATATTGACAAGACCAAATCTAACATAAATGTAAAGAAATTGATTTGATTTGTTTATTTATTTCCAAAGACTTTTAAAAACAAGAAAACAAGCAATCAGTGTGACAGAGAAAATATGTGCATACACAACCAAGAACAAAATAATTCAACAGCACTTTTCTGTTTCAAAAGGAGTAGGAAGAAGCTAATATTTATTTAATTCTTCTGCTTGCAATAAAAGTACCAAAAATATAAAACATTTCTGGGTTTTGTAGTAAAAAGGAAGTGGATTTTTAAGGATTTGTCATGTAATCACTAGAAACTGTGAAACTGTGTGCTATGCAAGAGAACAGCTTAAATAAATCAACTTAACAATACATTTTAAAAGACACATGTTAGTTAAACTGGAAAAACTTTAGCTCTGCGTTTTCTAATCTTCTCTGCAGCAGCGGCTCCAGTTTTCAGAAGCGTCCGTACCGTCGCTGCCTCGACAGCAGCAGAAGAGCACACCGCTCCGCCACCCATCTGACCAGTCGGATGTCTTTTCCACACCTTCGGCGGTGTTTCCATGGGAACGAGATGACTCTGGACCTGCATCCAGAAGACGACCTGCGTCTTCTCCTCAGGCGCCGAGCCCTGAGGTCCTGCATCAAGGCCGCTTGGACCGGAGCTCTGAAGAAAGGGTCCATAAGACGGAAACAGACAGTAAGATTGTTTGTTGACTTCATTCAAATGCATCCTGCTGAGACTGCAATATTTATCCCAAGACAGATTAAATGTAACCTGGATTACTATAAAGATTATGCTCAGCATGATCATGCTTTTGTCTCTGTTTCCATTTCTAATCCTGAACTTCCAGACAGAGTAGATCAGATTTGGATTAGATGTTGCGTTTTATCTTAACACATCAGTTTGTGTTCTGCTTAAATTAGCCAGTATGTCTAATAAGTCCTCTGCATAACCCCACCAAAAGTTGTGACGTAAGAGTTTGTGTAGCAATCTGTGCCTCAGCCAGACATTCCTATCCCTGCTCTGAAAGCAGCTTCATCCAAGTCTTGCAGCACTTCATGATGTAAGACTTCCCTTAGTTTCAGTGTTTGTTCAGAGGAGGAAGAGACAAATAAATGTGAACCTATGAAGGGACATCAGAAGCAGTGTTTTTACTCAGCTTCTCTCCATTTCCACTATTTATAGACAATTTGTAGAAAATTCATTCCAGGGTATCATAGTAGACTTTCCTTAATCATTACAGTTTTCTATGACATTATAAAATTAATATATTGTGTTACACAAAAACAAAATGTAGATTGCAACAAATTACAAACATATATTTTTAGTTAAAAAGCAAAATGTTTTTTATTGTGTGGACTGACTTGGTTAATTCTTCTTTTTACAGTAACTCCAGCTGTGTGTTTACCATTGAACCAGTCTGTATGGATTGACCCCATTTATGAAGAGCCTGCAATGTTCTGCTGCTTTGTTTTTTAGTTTATAGTTCCATAATTCCAGGATAAATGCCGGTGTTTCTGCTTAAAAAATAGAAATTACAAATGTACATATTTTTATTTTCTAGTTTTTCCAATCATTTGTTATGTTTTGTTGTCCTTCATTCATCCATTTAAGACGGTAATATTTCTGAGCAGATCCATCTTCCATGACATTGTGACTGTGGTGACATTGTCTTGCAGTTTATGGCATAAAACCTAAACAAGCTTTAATAAAATTAGTTAATGTTGTAAAATTTGATCGAATTTAGCCGAGACTTTCTCCAACTGGCTAAATATTACATTATCATGAAAAATGCAACACTTGGAAAACGTTAGCCAGAACTGTCTTTTGGCATTCTCATATTCTTCTCTCTGTCTGGTCTAGACGGAGAGAATCTGGGAATCTACTCATTTATTAATCTTGCAGTCTGTCTTTAAATTTTTAATTTTGATATTTATCATTTTAAAACTGGTGAAAAACTGAAAACTTTACTAAAGTGACTCTAAAGATGATCCTGGGTATTACGTAGTTGATTGGCATTATTTCTACTAGATCTTACTGTTGTCGATTTTAATTGCTTAAATCTGCACTTCACTGGTTTCCACAGGTAAAATGTTATTTTTATCAGAATTATCAGACCTTAATGATGAGATATTGTGTTTTGTTGATCCACCAGTATCTTCATCAGAGCTGCAAAGTCGTCTCTCGGCTCTGGAGGACCAACTGTCAGAGAAGGTTGGGAATCTGAAGACGGTCCAGAATGAAATGGGGCTGATGAAGAAGGAGCTCGCTGCTAAAGAGCTGGAGCTGCAGAAAACCCAGGAGGAGCTCAATATGGCGCACACACGGCTGGCTCAGGACAAAGAACGGGTAAAGGCACAAGCCTTACCGCCTGCTGCCACAACAACAAATCCTGCTGAACGATAATTTGCTTACTTATAAAATAATTGAAAAAATTTTAAGAAAAACATCTGTACGTAATTAAAAAAAAATTTTTATTTCAGGCATCAGAAGTTGAGCACAAGCTGAAGCAGCTTCAGGAGGAGCTCAAGTGCCAGAGGCAAAATGCAGAGAGCAGTCGGCTTCAGCACCAGCAGCGCACCAAGGAGCTGGAGAAAGTGCACCAGAAGGTCAGTCCGACGCCTGCAGGAGAAACGGAAAGCAATCAGATCTCTCTGCTCTCTGCTTCAGATTGTGGCTTGTGCGTTCCGGCTGCAGGATTTGGCAGAGCTGCAGAAGGAGAGGCAGTGTGTGGAGAAGCAGCACCAGCAGGAGGTGAATAAGCTGAACCAGGAGCTACAGCAGGCCAGGTCTCTCCACAACGCTCTGCAGGCCCAGGCTGACAAGGTAAAGGCAAACATGCAGCTGGGAATGTTACACATCAACAACACGCGGCCGTCCTCTGAAATAACAAGGCCACGTTTGATAAAATAACGTCTGCATCAACAGTGGAAACTGCAGAGCAGCATGAAGCTCTGCTTCACCAAGCTGTCTTGTTTTATCAGCCATTTCCACCCTTTGCCCTTTCTTTACCCAACCTTCTCTTCCTCCTCCTTTAACTTGTGTGATTGTTTGTATTTATTTGTTCTGAAGATCAATAAATGTAACTTGTTCTTCTCCCAAACTTTCTTCTTTTCTTTGTTTTCTGCCTTTCTCTCTTTCACTTTCCTGCTTTTTGTGTTTCTATCCCCCACATCCTGCTCCCACTCTGCTCCGTCCTCCTCTTCTCTCCTCTCGGTTTGTCCCGGTGGAAAACGTTAAGCAGCAAAGGTAACAACTGTGACTGTGACCCATGACCTTTAAAAGCTTGTGCAATAGAGACAGGACACAATGTGAGTAGTATGTGCATAGGATTTATTTGCAGCAAGATCAGTTTAGACAGATGATTTGCTTTTGCTAACACAAGATTTGCGAGTCAAGTTAATTTAAAAAGTAGACTAAATTCAGTCTTATTTAGTAGGTGTCGATTGTTTGGGCTACAATTTTCACAGAAAATCAACAACAGCTGAAGTGTGATGAATGGTGTTATTGTGAGTAGACTACACTTGTTGCTTGGAGTTTGACCCATAACAAAACCAATCAGAGTCTGCGTCATTTTATGGTATCTGAATTCTTTAAAGATTAAAATGAGACTTTATGAACCGAGCCGGCTGGTTTGCTTTAGCCTGCAGATCTTTGCAATCATTTGCATTAATAATAGAAGAGTCAAATGTCCGTGATTTCTGATATTTGATTCAAGTCAATGATTTATTTAAAGTAGAGTTGAGTTGTTGTAGAAAAAGTCCTTGCTACTGCTGTCAGTCCAAACTCATAGGAAACGGAGTTTCACTCGCTATTAGACCAACAATGAATAATAATCGCTTTAAAGCCGTAAAATTATTTTTTTCTGCACTAACACTCAGTTTCTGTCATGCTGTAATGCTATGTTTTATTTAATTAACTCTTTACTACACAGGTTGAAATGTTCTGCATGACAACAACAAAGCATGAAACAAGAATAGCAAACATAATTTAGTGCGAAACTAACAATATTAAGATCGTTGAAGGAAGTGTGTTTGTGGATAGTGGATTAGTTGACACTTATTTCTTTACATTCTTCTCTCTGGGAGTCAGATTATCTTATTATGGCTTTATATAACAAGTCGTTTTGTCCATTTGCTATATAGTTATTTACAGTTGAATGTTTTTTAAACATCTCGGTAAATATCTTTGGAAGTGTCTCCACTTTAAAAAACAAAAAAGGAAGTCATAAATCATAGCTCTATTTAAAGCAGAGGAAGATTGTCTCAAAGGGAAGTTTTTAAGAAACAGGAAAGAATCCGTGCTTCTAAGAGCTGCATCATCGTTCTCAGTTTATTTTTTAAGCTCTTAACTACAGCAGCTTTTTGTTGTCAATCTGTTATTTAGACTTTGTAGATTCAATTAAACATGTTGGGTCTTTTTGACAGGCTGCAAGTAACCTAATACCTGAAGCTCCAATTCAATTTAAATTTTTTGTTAAGTTGCCTGTTATGTCTTGACTCTATACAGATTTATCCATTGAACTTAAAAACCTTTTTAGACCTGAATGATGAAAATAAGTGGAAAAAGTTGCTCAATAAATACATGTAGAAAGCTGGAAGTGCTGTTGATTAAAGCTGTGATAAAGTTTTAAGATGCTCTGGCTCAAGGTTTTTAGACTATGACACACCCAGAATTATCAAATTGCTTCTTCGTGTAAAAAAGCAAACAGCTGAATTATTCTGACATGAGAGCTGCTGAAGTTCTCAACCACCAACTTCAATGACCGACATATGTTGGTGTATAATTATGAAGGTCAAGGAAAAGGATTTATTTTGCTTCAACATTCGTCACAAATATAAAACTGAAAAGTGTGGTGTGTATTTGCTTCCCTGAATCAGCACTTTGTAGAACCAGGTTTTACTTTGATAGATTTGCACGTCTGCAGACATTTTTACCCGTTATTATTAGCAAAATAACTCAATTTCAGTTGAATTGAATGGAGAGCATCTTTGCACATTAATTTCCACAGATTCTCAGCTTGAAATTTGACTAGGCTATTCTACCAGATGAATATGCTTTAATCTAAGCCATCCTAATGTAGCTTTGGCTGCTTCTCTGCAGTGGTTATGTATTTCCTCTGCAGTTTCTTGTTTTTGCCTGTTACATAATTTTCTAATAAAATACATTAAAGTTTCAGTCTACTCAAAAGAAATTAATACTTTTTCTGTAAGTCTTAGTTTCTTCAAACTGTAACGGTGACTTATGTTTATTATCCCTGCTCTGTTTCCTTCTCTCATCTTGATAAATGCACTTAACACAAGAGTCTTTTGTTTTGCTTTTTTTTTTCTTTTTGTTTAAGTCAATTTCAATTTTTATTTTCTTTCATAAATAAATTACCAAGTCTTTAAACTGCGGTCCATATTTCTACCAGCTAACGCCACATTTGTTTTTGCTACCAGCTGACTCTGCAGAAGCAGGCGTTGGACAAAGACCTGGAGTCTCTGAAGGAGAAGCTGAAGTGGACGGAGGAGCAGCTGAAGGAGAGCCAGAAGAAAGAGACTCAGACACAAGCCAAGCTGACGGTAACACGCAGACACACACAGATGTGGTCCAAAGTCTTGTTTTTCTGTGTGGGTCAGTTATTCATTAGCTAGATGTTGAGCTTAGCTAGGACGACATACATTTTTAAAAAGCGTGCCGTATGTCAGCCGGGTGACTGGACTGAAGATGAAGCATGAATAAATTATAAGAGAATTCTGTCTTCCTCTGTCTCCATGTGGATAAATATTTTAGAATTAGAAAATATTTATTAGAATCATATAAACTATTTACTATTTAATATATAAGTAAGCAAAATGAAGAAAAGTTATTTTTACTTCCAGCGGTAAAACAACTTAACTTGGCTGTTAAATTCAGTAAAAGAGTGTTGGTTAAAAATTGTTAGTTTATAGTTCAATGTTTTTCTCTTACACAGCATCCTCTTATCTGAAAAATGCCTTCAAACATATTCAACTATGTAGTTATTGTTGTCTTTAAATTGAGCATTTAAAGACAATCAATGTTTCTGACAATCAAATGCATTGATTTAAGAAATAAATGTACTTGATTTCTTTACACCTATTTGAATATTACAACAAATGAAACCCTCTCAGTAGATTTAACAGATCAATTTGTCTGACTGAATTTGATCCTCCTCCTCCTCCTTTGTGTTTTTTTGTTTCCAAACCACGGTTTAGGAAGCCGTTCGTGAGGCGGAGGGTGTGGCAGTAACCCTGGAGCAAAGCAGGAAGAGAGAGCGAGCTCTGGAGGAGGAGGGGAGGAGACTGCAGGAGGAGCAAGCTGACACCCTGCGTCTCCTCAAAGAACTGCAGGGTGAGGAGAGAGAGCTATGAATGGATCCCTCTCATGGAGTCGTCACAAAGTTGCCGACTGTGTGTCCCCAGCAAAAGTGTCCCTCTATAAAATGTCATTTGTGGAAAATTTAAAAAAACAAAGCAATAACCAGAAAAATAGCATGTTTTGGCAACAAACCTTTATGTTGTTGTTATTGTATCCAAGTTTAAAAATGTTAGTTGTTTTTTTTTATACATATATATTTTTCAGTATGTAAAATCAACATATAACACACAGCAGTCAAAGAAAACCTATCTTTAATCACTGGACTTCATTCTTAAAGAAAATGCAACCAGAAAGTTTTTACGTACCGAGTCCATTTAGTCCAGATTTTGTAAAATGTTTCCTTTTGTAACCTGAGGGGAAAAGAAAGCTTTTCCATGATGTATAATGTTTATCCAGTCATTGTTAGTTTTTTCATCATCTTAGCCAGAGTTATAGAGAGCCATTGTGGAAGATTCAAAGAGTCACTTGTAGCTCAGGAGCCCATCTCATAAAATCCCAGTAATTTATAAAATCAGGGTTATAAAGTGAGAGACGGAGAAAACATTCATACTTCTAGAAGTCTCTGGATTTATTCTATTCCCCCCAAAGACTAAAAAATAGTTTAGTTGAATACATTTATATCAATTCTTGTGGACAACAGGGAGGATTATGATATCAACCAGCTTACACAGATTAAAGCTGAAATAATTTATTTCACCGCCTGTGAATTCTGCACCAAAGCTGCACTCCTAGCATAAACTACTTCATGTTTATATTTCTGACATGATTAGAGTAAAATATGAAGAATAACCTTGTTAAATGTGAAGTTCATGGAAAAACTGTTTCTTTTATTACCTCAGAACAAAAAGCTCCTGCAGCATTGACTCAGCCTGCGCCGTTTGGACCCGTTGGACAGAGTTTTTCCTCTCCGTCTCGAGCCGCAGCCCACAGCAGGAGGACCACAGCTTCCCAGTCGGATCAGAACAGGGATGGGAGCAGGGCTGAAGTCACAGCAGCATGTCCTTCTGCCAGAGAGCCAGGGGAGGGAATCGACGCCGAGCAGATCAGCATCACAAACTCTGAGCGTCAACAGAAAGTGGGACAAAGAGAAGAAGCTGATAAAGACGGAGAGACCCAGAGAAACATTGCAGATGTTGATCGAGCAACAACTGCTGAAGATCCAGCTGCCACAGGAGGTGTGAAGATCGAACATGCACAACTTCCTATATCTGAGGAACCCGCTTCATCTCAGGACCTCAAGAGGGAGAACGTCGGCCTCCGCTCGGAGCTCCGCGATGTCCGTGAAGAACTCCAGAGAAGGCTGGAGGACCTGGAGGCCCAGCGGCGGGCCGAGACGGAAGCGAGGACACGCCTCAAACAGCTCAGCCGTAAGCACTCCACCCAGGCGGCGGAGAGGGAGGAGAGAGAGAAGGACCTGAAGGTAAAGTTGGAGAATGAGAAGGCTGAGACGGAAAGGCTGAAGAGGAGCATTGCTGCTTTGGAGGCAGAGATGAAGAGAAGCAGAGAGGAGGCAGAGAAGCAGGAAGAGGAGACGAGCACCACTCAGAATGACAGAGAGAGCGAGCTGATCGAGCTGAACATCCAGCTGAAGAATCAGCTGGCAATTGTGAAAGCTCAGCTGGCTTTGGAACGAGAGGAACGAAAGGCGGAGGAAGAGGAGAGAAACCAAAGGATGAGCACAGATTCTGATGTGAACACAGAGCTTAGCTTGAAGCTCGCAGAGATCATGGCTGACGTCGAGGAGCTGAAGCACAGAAGAGAAGAAGACTCGGTAGAAGATGAGAAGCTTTCCACCTCCAGTAGCCCCCTTCTCAGCCTTCCTGATGACGAACTCACCTCCAACACTGGTTGCTCTGACAACAGTCTCCTGTCCTCCCCAGAGGAGCACCTCCTCTTCTGCGAGTCTACCAACCAACGCAACGCTCTCCTGTCCACAGAAACTGAAGACATTCTCTGTCTCAGCGGTCAAACAACCGAAGAAACCTCGGATCAGATCAAGCTTTCTTCATCAGACCTCCAGCCCCCGACCTCTGACCTCACTAAGGTGGTGGAGGTCCTGCAGACAAAGTGTGCAAAGGAGTCAGAGCGGGCCAAAAAGTACAGAGATAAATTTGAGGCCCTGCAGATCCAGGTAAATCTCAATGATCTTGTATAAAATACAGAAAGACAAATATATATTCCAAATAATCTTTTAGGGTTTTGACTAAAAAGAACTTTAATTCAGATCCAGAGCTGTGTTTCAAATTATGACTTTATTCACAGTCTTGCATTGTTGGGTTAAAGAAGTTTCAATCATTTCTAATTAAGGCATTCTTCTATAAATGCCTGCATAATGTTTGTATAATGTAGGCATTTATATTCACAATCTGGAAAAGTAGGAAACTTGGCTTTGAAGGATTTTGAAGGATTTTTTTCCCATGTAAATTTAGGAAAAAGAATTAAAAAAATATAAAAAAATCTGGATTCATCCAGCAATCCATTTTGTTTTTTGTTTGTCTCCCGCAAACGAGGCAGCCAATCCGTGTAAAATTTGAAGAAAAAAAAATGCATTTATATAATTGCTTGAAATTTTATCTAGAAAGCTATGAAATCAAATTAAACTCCATTGTTTTAAAACTGCAGCCGACAGAGATTCCTTATTATCTTTTATTTTTTACCTGTTTTTGATGCAAATTAGTTGAACTCTGTTTAGTTTAAATGTTGTGTCGCCAAAGATTATAGATTTTGTGCAGTTTACTATTTTCTTTTCTGTCTGCTCAGGTAACGCGTCAGACCAAAGAGCTGACCACTGCCTTCGAGAAGCAGAGTCAGCACATCTCAGGCCTTCTTGCTGAGCTGCAGGAGAAAGAGAGCGCCCTCTTGAGCCAGGGAGAGGAATTGAAGCAATGCAAGCAAGAGTTGAACGAACTAAAGCAGGAAGAAAACAATGTGGTAACACTGACAGCTGACAGAGAGACTGAAGAGAGAAAAAGAGATGAAGAGCTTATAGAGAAATCAGAACTTATACAGGAGGAAGAGGCTGTTGCTCCTCTTCCCTCTTCAGACTTAAATATTCAAAAAGAAATAATTCAGCCCAATGTTGAGGAATGTGAAGCTGAAATGCCTCCACCTGTTGGTGGTGAAGGTGAAAGTGCAGCTGTAACCTCTGGAGAGAGGTCTGCAGTCGGTCCCTGTGATTCTGTTGGTGAGGAGGAAGAGATTCAGCTCAGCCAAAATGGAGAGAGAGTCGACACGTTAGCAGAACTTCATGTCCTCAGACAGGAAAAGCAGCTGCTGCAGCAGAGAGTCAGGGACTTCACTAACATTGACACCAGAGACCAAACTTCACAGACTGACAGCCAGAATCAGAACCACACAGAAAACACGGCCTGTTTGGCAGGGGAAGATCTGCTGAAGAATGAGGCAGCAACAGACCAGCAGCTGCTAATAAATCTGAAGAGGAGTGATGATGGAGGTCAAGATTTGGAAGGAGAAAACACAAGTAGCATGAGTGGTGAAAGAAATGCAGAGGACATGACTGAGATTCAGATAAACCGTCTGCAGGATCAGGTACTGAGCACAGACTCAGCACTTTTTAATGATTTTGTCTGCCTTGGTCTTTATTCCATGAAATTTATAATGCACTATAAGCAGTTTCTATACCTTATACTCCACAAGATTAATTTGTTATATTTTTGCTTTCACACTGCACTATGTGAAATGAACCAAACATTTGAAAAACCTGTTTATGTTCTCGCCTGTGGTGGCGCTGCATCAAATACCACTGACGCACTGAAGCAACTTGGAAACCTTAGAAGAAGACATGAGTGCAACTTCCTTCTTCAGGAAATGTAAACAAAAGTGGAGGAGCATCAGATTAAAATGTAATGTTTTGTCTTTGATAAAAAACCACAAACCATTTCTCATTTACAGTCCTACTTTTTAGTTTGGATCTATTTACCCGGAATGGCTGCGCAACAGTTCATTTCCCGCCTTTGGAGCCGTCTCTGGTCCACTTGGCATTCACATTCGAACTGTGCCAGAGTTCAGACTTTAACTGAACTGAGACTGAAGTTTTCAGTTAGACCAGAGTTTCCTTTGTTGTCCGTACCTGAGTTCGATTGCACAGTTACTTCTCCCCCAACGAACCAGATTTTCTAGGGAAACAAACTAGAGTCCGATTAAAGCTGACTAAACAGCTGGAGAAGAAATTAAATCAAACCTAGAGCAAAGTTAGATGTGTATATTTTGTTGTACCAGTAGGAGACTGAAAACTTCTGTTAAGTTAAAATGAGAGAAATAGAAAAATCTTTTGAACGTCATTTTGCTTACCTTGAACTTGAAATGAAAAGTCAAAGAGATGTTAAAATTGTTCTTAATTACCTTATGAACCGTACCCGTGTTGTCCAGGTGGAGGCGCTGCAGAGACGAGTCAAGACTCTCACTGAGGAGACCGAGGTCCAGGCCCAGGAGCTCAACTTATGGAGACTATCGTCTCAACCTTCCTCTGCAGTCCAACACTTACTCACCAACGCAGGCGATGGGAGCGAAACGCTGCGACAGATTTCTGCTGACAGTCGGCCTGAACCCACAGAAGAGCTGACCAAACGCCTCGCTCAGACCGGCCACAGCCAGGTCCAGAAGAACCCAGACATCATCACGGTCATCAGGGAGGATGAAGTATCGCTCTGCTGCTCCTCTAGAAAGCTACAGGGTCGCCTACTGTTCTCCAGGTAAACAAAACCCCCCTCCTACTTTCAGCCATCTTTTGACGTACGAATGTTTTATAAAATTAAAGTTTTTATATTTTTTGTTAACCATAAGACTTCAGAACAGCAGCCTTCCTGAACCAAAGAGCCTCCGTTCACCTAAGAAGTCTCTTCAGGAACAGACCCGGAGCGGTGCAGAGTTTGACCCGGTGATTGTTTCAGTCTCTCACAGCGGCGCGGGAAGTTTTTCAGGCCTCTTGAACCTTTTCACATTTTGCTAAGCCGTGACCACAAACCTTGATGTATGACAGAGCAACACATAGCGGCAGAAGCAACATTGCTCTAGTTTTCTTTCACTTCACAATTACCTTCTACTTGTTGTTGAATTTTGACAAAATGTGAAAAGGTTAATGGCATGTGCATACTTTGCATGGTTCTGTACATACTAGACTGATATTAATGCACCGCAGAAGTTTTTTCTGTTTAATTAAGTTTTTTCTGTTTAATGAGCCATCATGTAGTTAAATAAATATAGTCCATTGAGGAGGAATGAGGACCGGTTGTTTTTCTTGTTAATTTGAAGCAGCTGTGCAATTTTGCTCAAATTCTAGAAAAATAGTGTTTTTCAAATTGTTAAAGTAACACATTAAACAGTTACTGATTAATATAAGTGGAGCCTAATTTAGCTCTCAGTAACTTACTAAATATACAAATAGTTTCCAGTAGGAGAGCACTTTTCAGTAATACGTTGTTGTTTTTATCTTTCTCCAGGAAACATTAAGCACATTTACATTAAGACATCAATATTTTATCACTTTCGTTTACAAAAGACATGCAGATATTAGTTAATATCAATAAATGGTTGGCTGGTTTGTTTTTAATTACTGCCTTGTTGTTTTTTAATCAGGAATCTGAAAAAGAAAACCAGGAGATAAACTTGCATTGGTCAGAAAACAAATCGAAGAAAGATGCAAAACTCATCCAAGTGTCATCGCAGAATATTGCTCAACACCATGGAGCCAAAGATCTCAGCTTCTCAGGATCAAGACTAAGCAAAGTGCAACATTTCCACACAGAAACCCAACAGACCAAACCGGACTCCTTCAGAGGAGCCGGTGACTTTGAAACACCGATTTACCCCAACGACAGTAATATGAAGGTAGAGGCTGTGAGTGTCGGCAGTCAAACTGAGGGCAGTTTGCTATCTTGTGGAGTTTCCACGGCGTCTGCAGCCTCTCAGACCGAGCAGGATTTCAGCGATGAGGAAGAGTCAGTCGAATCTCCTCCTGTTTCTCCCGTTAGTTCAGCGGAGAAGACGGAAGCAGGGGAGAAAATGTTGCTCTCTGGTTCTTTTCCCATCCCGGCCGATCCAGCTCGTCTCGCTGAAAGGATCCGCCGCAACAGAACGCAGATGTCGGCCGCCTTCGACGACACGGAGTATGAGCCGTACGGCCTGCCAGAGGTCGTCATGAAAGGTAGGGTTCTTTTAAAAAAGTCACATTTTAAATAAATTCATAATGTCCTGCCATCAATCAGTCATACTGTAATAATCATACATGCTTTTAACATATAATTATAAATACATTTATGAAGCAAATAACTTTAGATGAAGCCGTTCATTTAATATTTGATATTTGTTTTCCTCCTTTACAATTATTTTCTGAAGGACGTATTTGTTTATTGAATTGTGTTCACTGTTGGTTCTCCAACTCGAATTTCTTTTGTGCTCTTTACTGCCCCCAAGTGGCCAATGTCTGCAGAAGAAAATAAAAGCTCTTGGTCTGTTCCCTCACATCCTCCAGGCTTTGCTGACATCCCCACTGGCCCGTCGTGCCCATACATCGTGAGAAGAGGTTTGTTAGGAACAGTTCAACCTTTGTCTAAGAAAGAACCACGAGAAGACGGGGAGACAGATTAAAGCGAAGCATCAGGTAGGCGAGGAAATGTCTGACATTCCCTGCATTATTTTTGCATCAAGACTAAAGACGGGCAGTAATCCTGTTAATGGAGTGAATCTGAGAGTACTGAGGCATTCTGAGGAGGTTTTTGGACTTTCACTGGTAATTTTAATGCTTCGGACGACATGAAGCGGGGATAACTCAGTGTGAGACATGCTGGAAATCTCAGCTGGAACTCTTTAACGACTAAAACAGTGTCTGTGGGTTTTGCTCATAACCAATGCAAGACTAAATATTTATCGACACTCATGTATAGCATTTTTTGAAAGTTGCATCTTTTTATTTCATAAATAGATGCATTCAACCTATTCACATAAATACATTTATTCTGGGGTTAAAAATTATATTATATTTTGGGATAATTTTAACCTGTTTTTAGCTCATATTTTACAATGTTATTTAAAAAATATATATGTTTTTTGTTTTGTTTTTAGTCCTAAGACTAAAAACATTAAAATTTACCAAAAAGCAAGGAAATGTCATATTCTAGTCTTTGCTTATTTAATCATTAATGTACATGATTAAATAATGTACATTATAAATAAATACAGATTGATTCATTAACAATTAATTACTTAATGTATTGTTTAAATCTTTAATTAACCAACTATTACTTTTGGTTTTTGGCGGGCCATGGAGGTTTTATGGTTTATGATCAGTTGTATATTTTGAAGGGTGAGGGTAAAAATGGCCTCTTGGAGAGAAACTAATATTTGCTCTCGACCCAAATCCTTTAGAAAACATGTGGAGTGAGTCGAAGGGTCCGTAAGGGAGAATCTAGAGAGAGTGAGTAAAGGAGAATATTCAAGGATTATCTTCATTCCCCATCCTTGCGAAATGTTCTGGCAGAACAAAAAGTGCTGTCCTGTTGGCTAAAGAGCGCTGAACAAAGTGTTAGCAGCAATGAATGTGGTGCTGTCGATTTCCTTGAAGCAGTTATTTCCACTAAATAACTGTCCTTGATTTTACTAATGAAAATTATGCAGCTGCAATCAATACAAAAATAAGATCCTCTGTACATATTGAGAAAATGTACTGTGTATGTTTCCTCATAACTTGTTGGTTTTGGATGAACTGATAATAGTTTCTGTTTCATGCAGATCTAGCAGGAGGAGCTGGTCACTTTGGGAGGATTCTCTCCTCTGTCTGTTACCCGGCAGGTGACTGGGCCTGACGAGCTGCTCTCCTCCAATGCGGTTCTGAACGGCTTTAATTATTTCACTCTGAAGTTGCTGTTCGGAGGCTCTAATCTACACCCACCTGTGTGATCAGACCGTAGGTTTGGGATTTAGTGACGCTTGTTTCTGTTCTTGAACTTCTCTTCCAAAAGGATTGTTTTGTTTTCTTCTTGCTCCTGCGTCGGGCGGCTTCAGCTTGCCTTGACTTAAACGGTGCCTCGTCGCCGTTTCTCTAAACCTGTCCAGATAAGTTTGACTTGTTTTCCAAGAGGGTCGATCACGTAGTGAGAACACGTTTAAAATTTTCCCGTTCTAACCTATTAAGCTTTTTTATTTATGGACTCTTGAATGTGTTTTATTAGTGGGTGGGTGGGATGAACGTTTACAGAAGTGTGTGTGAAAAACATTAGCTGTGAAAATTAACATGTGTGTCCTCATCTTGATGTCACTGTTTGTATATAAGTGTGTGTGTGTGTGTGTGTTGGGTGAGCACACGTCTATGAGTCAGTGTAACCTGCGCTGGTTTCCGCTCCATGTATGGAGATACACACTGAGCTCCTTCTCTCCTTCCCCGTCCTGCACTGACAACCACTCTAACACTAGCTGGCTTTAAAGCCACTTTAAAAAAAACAACAACTGAAGTTTAAATTCGTGGGATCCTGCAGAGTCTGGAAAGTTATGGGAAAACATCTGGTCGTCCTGCTTGCGGAATGTGAAACTAGAAAGATCCTTTTGGTTTTCGACAGCATAAAAACTCACAATGTTTGTGCCCGTTTCTCTGTTACCTAGAAATGGGAACACAGTTTTACAGAGTGAACATAACATCACATTTCATTGAGGGAAACCTCAGTGATGTCAGTAGAAATTATAAACTGAATGATCCACATAGATACAGCAATCGTTTCCCTCTGAACTTTTCCCAGTTTTCTCGTTACAAGCACAAACATCTTTGAAAAAAGTTACTTGATCAAAGTTCGTTCCTCCACAAGATTTTCTCTGTCGTGTTGCTTATGGGGAACTTTAAACCAGGGATTATTTATGGCGCCTGTTCTGATGTTGTGCACCCTCTTTAAGCCACCAGCGTAGGTGACTGATGCAGACAGAGTCTTTTTTAACCTGTTGTCTTGCAGCAAAAATGTTCAAATTCCAGACTTGAGTGTTTTTTTTTTTTGGAGGACAATTACTTGTCCTCCACTTGAATGGGTTTTTGCATTTTCTCCGGCTTCTTCCCACGTGATGGACATGTGACCAATGACTGCTGGAGGCCCTGCAGGAATAAGTGGGTATAGACAATGGATGGATTGTTTTCCTTCCACTTACTGATTACGTTCTACTTGCATTTAAGTCATAAAATCCCAGTAAATTCCTCAGATGTTTGTGTTTGTATCAGGAAAATGAGAAGAATACTATAATGCAGGGTTGTCTTGTTACCACAAGTCAAATCTTTCTTTTAAATTGTTCTCTTTCTGGACAAATGTTTCAGACTAAACTCATTGTTTTCACCTCAGTGTTGGTGTTGAATGTAAGGTACTGGAAACCAGCAACCATGATGCTGATCAATCTAGTCAGTTGAACTCATTTATACACGGTGCCGGTTTAATTATCTCAAACCTAAACCTGACACAAGTCATGTCCAAATGTATTGAATCCAGTTGGCTTTGAATCATATTTATTTTACTTATTAATCAAGTTTAGATCAAACATGATGATTTAATCCTCACAACACAATCAGATTCAGTTGATCACATAATGCCGATTCGTGGCCTTAATTTTTCAGCAATCTCTCGTCTCCAGTAAGAATGTGGCGACAGTGAAGAGAAACAGTCAGAACTGGACTTCTTTAATATTTTTGTTATAAAAAAATAAAATTAATTGTTATTTTTTTCTTTTTGAGGTTATTAAACCTTATGAGTACGGAAGGAAATATGACTTTTAGTCGACTTGAGCTCTGGTTTCACAATTATGTTGTGGGAGTAACTTGTTACGTTTTCTTCACAAATCCAGTTACATACAACAATGAAAATGTGCACATAAATTTTCTCTTTGGTTTTTCCAGGATAAGTCTCATGCCTTTCTATCGCCTTATAAAATGCTCTGTTAAAGGGAATCATAACATTACTTCTTTTTTTTTTTACTAAAAAGGATCAACTTGTCTGAAGATAAACCAAGAATTTCTGAATATTTCAGACTGAACTAAATGGCCTTGATAGATAAACTCAAGTGATGACGCTCTGGGAGCTGCAGGCTCCCCCATCCTGCTGCTGCTGGAACGTCATCCTTTCCTCTCTGTTTTTAGTTGGATCAACGCAGTTAAAAACTGTTTGATTTGCTTTTATTAGGCCACTTTTCATTAACTTGAACATACTTTATTAAGATCTTGTAGTCTAGAATGTTTTAAACGTACTTGAATTGTTTGAATGTGCATATGAGTGCTTTAGTTGTGTTTTGAAGTGGAATTAGTGAAGCTACATCAGATCTGCCTTTTATTTTTTTTATTTAAATGCTGCCGTTCTCTCCTGGCATTACCTGTTGACTCCACCTGAGCTGTTCAGCCTTCATCTTTAGTCTGATTGTGAGCAGGGAAACTGAGTCTGTTACCTTCCTTCAATGTGTCTGTTTTTTTCAATTACAATAAAACTTTTGCTCCTGTTTTAATTGTTGTTTTTCTTTAAGTGACTTCCACTCACTGTCTGTCTTGTTCATCATACATGAAGAGATGCATGATGTTTGTTTTTTCCAGTTAAGATTTAACTGGTGTTGTGGTCAAATGAAGAGAGCCTCAAAGTGTTTTTAGGTGGAATATCTTGGTTTAATCACATAAGTGTTTCCGCAATTATCAACGTCCCTTTGCCTCTTGGTCACAAACACATTATTAGAAGTTGCTGAAGAGCTTCGCAGCTTTTCCAGCCTGCTTTGTTTCACGATGCACATTTTCCTCAAGTGCTTCAAAAACTGTGGACCACAATTCTGGTTTTGAAGAAACAAATGTCTCTTCTTACTTCCCGAAGCGACAGAACCCAGACAAGCGATGGATTTAGACAGAGCCGAGCCGCACGCACCCTGATGTCCAGCTCAGGAAACTCCAGGCCCTCTGCTCTTCCTTTAGCTGTGACGCCATTCCATCAAACATTCACACACATACACACACAGACACAGAGTGCTGTAATGGCCTTCTCATGCACTCCGCCTCATCTTTTCCTTGATCTCCTCCTACCCTCATATGATCCGCTCCCCTCTGCCCGAGTGATGCGGGGTCACGAGAACGGGGGAAACACCTTCCAAGGAGAAAACACACATGCACTCATGCATCCGCATAACACACACACTGAGCTCATCGCTCTCTCCTGAATGGTGGGAGAAGAAGAGTTTGTGCATAAAGTACAGTTGGATACCAACTTTTGCCAAAACTCAAGGTAAGAATCGTCTTTTAGAGTTTTCATTTTTTCCTGTCATAATAAGGAGAAGTGTTTATTTCTTGCATGTCTGTTGTTCTGAGGCCTCTTCTACAAATTTGATCAGAATGTATAAAAGCAGTTTATTAATGTGCTGATCTCACTGCAAAAAAAATGCCCTTCTCAAAACAAGTTGAAAAAAATACGGAAATTTAGACATTTTCCCAGAGTTTAAATGATAGAATCTTCTGGTGGAATCAGCACTTTTTATGAATAGTCAAAAATTAATGGCTTAGGACAGTTTCCTGCATCTTGCTGAAAAGTTACTTGTATGCTTTGTTTTGTTTTAACATAAAACATACTAGAAACTAGTAATCTAGTTTGCACTAGAAACTAGGCAAAAACACTTGGTGAGATTTTGTGTTTTTGCAGCGTTAATACAACCGACAGCCCCAGGCTTGTTTTTTACAGATTTATCCACATGTTTATTTGTCAGCCGGAGTAGCGTCTCTCTTTTTACTGCACCCCCCAAAAAATTCTGTCATTATTTTGTTCCCAAAGCATGAAACCAGAACTGCAACCTGTGATCTCCTGACGTCAGGGTTGGCTCTCTGTTGAATACTTTCAGGCCAGATTATGTCTGAAAGGCCTTTATTTTTGACCTTTGTGGTAAATTCTTGCATAAGAGACTACATTTTCTCCCACAGTCGGTCATCTCGGTCTTTGATGGTTTGTCTGAAGTTTCTACAGCCGTGCCACTAAAATCCTTTCAAGGCTGCAAATTTTAGTTTGGGTTTCTTCTTTGCTTTTGCAGTTTAATCGTTTTTTTTGTTTGTTTGTTTTTCTTTCTTTTTTTTTTTTTTTTTTTGCATTTATGTAGTACTGTAAAAGCCATCTGTTTCCGTTTTGTATTATCATTCAAAATGTTTTTCCTGCAGAGGTCTTAACTCCCTCTGAGGCCTGAAATCTCATGAGATATTATTAAACTGCACGAAACTCCCTAATATGGTTACTTGGGGACTTATAGTTCTTTGTCTAAATATTTCTTTTAATGGCTTAAAGTCATTTTAAACGACTATAGTAAACAGAAAATCTTCTAAGACAAAATTCATCTTTTCTTAGAAAACTTATGTTTATTAAAGTGTTCTTAGATTCTTGAAAACCTTTGAGAATAAAGTTTATTTGTGGTGATTTCTACTTTTCCCCCTTGCATTTCACATGGCTAATAAAACAGGAACATCTTCCCACAATCATCTCTATGCAGAGCCTTGCAAAAGTATTCATACCCACCAGCATTTCCACATATTGTTCCTTTACATCCACAAACGTTGATTTACCTTCTTGGGATTTTATGTGACAGACAAACACAAAACATCACATCACAAAACAACTCTGGGGGAGCTGTAGAGATCCACAGCTCGGGTGGGAGAATCGAGCTGCTCATGCAACCTTCAAATCTATTTCTTTTTACAAATTGTTGAAACAATGGTCTTGCTTAAAGTTATGTATATTTTGGTCAAATTAAGATCAAACTAAACGTTTTGGTCTTTGTCTTGAGGGAAACCAGCACTGCAGCATCATGCAGCATCATGCTGTGGGAATGTTTTTGTTCAGCTGTAACAGGAAATCTGGTCAGAGATGAATGGAAAATGGACAGAGCTAGAGACGGAGTCATCCTGCAAAAAAACCTGTTGGAGGCTGAAAGAATAGAACGGAGGTTCACCTTCCAGCAGGATAAACAATCCTGAATTTACAGCCAGAGCAACAATGGAAGGGTTTAGATTTCAGTGTTTTCCTGTGCAAAAATGGCATAGTCAAAGGCCACATATAAATCCAATTGGGAATCTGTCGCAAGACCTGAAAACTGATATTCAGAGACACGCATGCACTCTACTTTCTGTTAACATGTTTGCACATCACCTTGCTGCTCTAGCTCATATAATCCTCAAGGTTTGTGGAGGCACAGTGGCAAAATGTGGAAATGATGTACAAGTATCAATGCACTATGTATACATTGCAAAAACACAAACTTACAAAGTATTGGTTTTGTTTCTAGAGCAAATATCTTTGTGCCCTTGAAATAAGACACAAATAAGTTACAAGTAACTTTTCAGCAACATATAGGAGCTTGTTTTAATTCCTTCATGGTGATTATTTTATTTATAATATGGGAAAAATGTCCCATCTGTCAGTGGAAGTAGAATCTTTTAATCAGGAATTATTTACTTAAACCAAGCTCTGATATATTGCTGAAAAGTTATTTGTAAGTCAGTTTTGTCGGATTTCAGGATTTTGAGTTTCAGCAGTGACTCTGAGGGGCTTTAAATGTGCAGTGGCACAAACTGAGCTTATCTTCCTCCAGTCCACCACAGTTTGGTAAGATTTGTCCCGTCGTAAATGTAAACCTAAGAATACCTCGTTTATAACTATCCCTGCCTTCACGCTTCTTTCCAAACAGCTAAGCTCCTGATTTATTACCCCACCTGCGCTGATGTTTATCTCAAGATTGGATCTCAGTGTGTCGACCTGCTTTCTCCAACCTAATAGCTCAGCACAATATCAGAATGTGCCAGCAAAGGTTTAGACAACGATATGACAAAACACATCTGTCAGGGCTGGTTAGCAGGACTCCCCACGCAAAACAAAGGCAGCAGTCCATTAGAGCAGAATGCTAACAGTTGGCCTGGTTCTGGGAAATCTCAGAACACTGTCAGAGTCCACATGGCGGCGACTGGGTCTGCTTGACCCGGGCTGAGCAGCTCCTAAATCCCAGCCCTGTTTCTCTGAGCGCCTGTCTCTGAGGTAAACACGGCTCAAAGAAAAGCCTGAGGAGCCAAGAGAAGATAAGAGATAAACCTGGTTTTCGATTAATGCTGTGTGATGTTTCTCTGGAAGCTTGGCAGAGTCTAATCATCTCAGGCTGCTGGCAGGGTGGCCTGCATTTTGTCACTTTTGCACCAGTTTTTGTGCTAAATTCCCTCCAGTAGTGTTCAATGGAAGAGCTTTAAGAGAAGCTGGAAAGTGTTTGTGCGTTGACGCGTACCTTTGTGTGCCCACAGGTGTTTAAATGGCTTGAATGGAGCAGACATGGAGCCACACTTCTCCTCTTCTGAGCGCTGAAGATACAACCAGGAAAAGATTGTTTTTCTCCAAATGATCTCTGAAGGTTTAACATGGGATGAGCCTGCCATCAGTACATTGAGGTACAGTCTCTGCTGTACTTGTACTATGAAAGAAGCAATAAAGGGCTCATTAAGATATTTGTTTTACACCACGGTACATTATCTCTCTTCTAAATTGAGCCTACCAGGATACAAGCTGATTGTTGCATCCCAAAATATGCAACAATCTCACATATTTTCAGCAATAAACTCTAACACCATTTATGTAGTAATAACTTTTATGGAAACCCATTGTCCACCGTCGATATCTTTCTAAAACCTTTCACAAAATTTCAGTTGCCGTTAAGAAGTAGACGGAAAAGTCACAATCTTCTTTTCTTACAAAATGGAAAAAAGCTTCAAGAAGAAATTCAAAAATGTAGTTTATTTTTAAATAAAATTATAAATTACAAATAAACTTAGGGGGAAAATTGGGAGCTATTTAATGCAGTAGCTGTTAACATAAATTTACCCATCTGACCTTGTCTGATTATAGTTTGACCCACAGATATAAGAAGAGTCTTTGTTTCTTCCCAGAACACTTGTGCACCTTGTTTGTATATATCTGCACTCATGCATACAGCGCTTGTCTAAAGGAACTTCCTGTTTATGGCCAGCTGCATCCTGGTGCATCCTGACTGAGACCTCGGACCCGCCCCCGAGCCCAGGAGGGGTAGGGGAGACGAGAAGGAGAAAAATGCGATGCACCACCCTCACCACCTTGCTGACGGGGGTCATGCTGTACCTGGGCATGGGAGCGCTCGTTTTTGTCACCCTGGAGACGCCAAAGGAGAGCAAGGCACATGTGAATCTGCTCAAGGCCAAGCAGGACTTCCTCAGCAACAACTCCTGCGTCACTGAGGTTGATTTCCAAGAACTTGTGAAGGTATCGTCAGACACATGAAGAAAATATTTCTGCTGAATTTCCTGTTCTTTACTGCATTCATTTATGTATGTCTATATATATATTTATATGTGTGTGTGTGTTTAAATATGAGTAACCTTTGATGTTTTTCCACAATTTTTCATGTTACAACCACAAACTAAAAGGAATTTCATTGGAATTTTATATATATTTGGAAGGAAAATAATAAGACATTAA